ATACTCAAAATTAAACGAATCGCATTTCTTAACAGAGTGACCTACTTCAAATAGTATACAAATTTGGAAAACGCATTTAATAAAGACTAAGCGAGTGCCAGAGAAAGCTATAATTGCATAATAATGACAGAGCTCAGGTAGGTCTTTTCGTCATGCTTTTGCGATCCATGCAATTATGAATTTACTTTCCGTCATGCATGGCCAAGCAAGAGAGGATACAGAGACCCCCAGCCAAAGAAAAGAACTAGATCGTGCAAATGATGCCTTGAAAAGGGTCGCTGCTGCGGATTCTTATGTACTTTCTTTCGTTTTTTGCTATTAAACGCATGTATATCATTACATAGCACAGGAGATGCAAAAGGAGTAACATGTTCTTGTTGAATCATGGGCATGCATTGAATATTCTGCTAGAGACTTTCTCTGATAGAATCATGTGGGCTTCGTTCGCTGGGCAAGGGAGCAGATGTCATTGAACGCTCTAAACTACCTGAGATCGCAAACCCTAAAGAAATGACTCTTGGAACTGGGGCATGTTGCAAGGTCTCCGACGCAATGGTCTCTCTATTCAAGCTGCAGTACGTGGAACTGCATAAGGTGGTCTGGTCGGATGATGAGAGTTTTCACCTTCAAACATCCTGAATCGACAACTCTTTCTCAGGATCGATAACTCTCTGGGTGAATCGACAATCTTCACCTTCAAATTTTCCTAACAAAGTCCACAGGTTTTTACAGTTCCTGATGCATGGAATCGTTTCTGCTCTGTACATGGAGATACATAGGACCTGGACCCTGATGATGATTCATGGGACTCTTGCAGCAGATCTCTTCTGACTCTTGAAAAAGATAGTTCGATTGGAAACGTGGGAAGCATTGAGACAGCAGCAAGCTTGTACTTTTTCCCACGAGGGTCGCATGAAGGTGGGAAAATTGGATCCTTATCTTGTAAAAATCCGTCTTGGAATTTTCAAATTTGAGACGCCACGGGTAGATGATCTTCCGCCTTCTCACGTAACCTTAATTTGCAGTCGCCAATGGCTTAGATTATGACAGTGCTATGGCTTGACAATAGACTTGAATTTTCTAGCCAAAAAAATAAAATAGAGATTTGAATTTGCCGTCATGTAATTTTTAGTAATTTTACAAATTCCCCGCTGGATTAGTAATTATACAATTATAATTTATTATGATTTCATGTGAAAGTTTTATATTTCGCTTTCGAGTTGGGGCATTGCTAATCTTTTCTCCATCTCAATCTCTACGAGTCCAAAACGTGATTACTTTGTAATAGACCATGACCGACCTACAACGACGTCGACACGATGTATTAAACTCATTTGCTTCGCTTACCAAATGTAGTCTATACGTTTAAAAGTGTAAAACTTTTTCGATGAATGACACAAACGGTTCATGAATTTTGATCCGATATGCAATGTTGTCTCTAGACCTTTAATTTGATCAATGTGATCTATGAACTTTTGGTAAATATTCAATGCAGTTCTTCCGTTTGCTCAAATGACAAATTGAACGTTATTTGATGACATGGGTTATTATATGCTAAGTCAGATTTTTAATAATGATGAGTCAACATGTTCACTTTTTTTAATTTTATATGCTTAAGAAAAGGAAAAAAAATTAGGGCATTAACATGTCCATCATTATATTACATTGTCGATTATGTATCCTGATTTAAAATGAATATCGCACTTCAATAATTCACATGTAGCTTTTTTTTGTCCACCGTCCAAACTTAACAGATTGGAAGTCATGTCAGCAGATTCTGTTAACTTGAATTAATGGAATGGCGACATTGGACATTTTCATAGTTTAGAGACTATATTGAATATATACTAATAGTTTAAAGACCGCATTGAACAAATTGAAAATTCAAGAATGATATTATATATTGGATCAAAGTTTAGAGATATTCGTGTCATTCTCCCAAACTTTTTTTTTCCTCATCAAAATATCGTGATCATACAAGATAATTTGTTCCACTAACAAATAATCGTGATTGAGGTATCAATTCGTTCATCTATATCGCATTTGTACGAATAATTAACTTTGCTTGGTCATCTTATTTTTAAAATAGCTCCGCGACTTATTTAATACAACAGACAATGGTCAAAATATTTCGAATTATTTTTAGTAAATTAATAAATATGTCACGGAAATTTTCTTACTAGGATGCTTTGTAATTGAGTCACAAGGGGTTCGTGATGATGTCAAGTTCCCCGTTTCTGACTCCTATCCTGCTCAGGATGACATGTCATTCGTCTGCTTTCGTTATTACATTGGATTACGTTTTTTTTCGAGAAATCGTTATTGTGTGGCGCATCTATCTTGTGCAGATTGAACCCGATGGATAATTTTGTTGGTTAATACCCCATGAGCCCTCAAATTGATATACCTGTGATAAATTTATCCAAAATTAATTTTTTGATCACCAAAAATCCCAAACTGGTACATTTGTGATAATTTTACATTTTGTTAATTTTCGTTAAATTTTACTGTTAAATTTCTGAGTTAGATGATACGTGACAGTTGATAAATGTACCAGTTTGGGTTTTTACCCTCCGTTTGTCACAAGTATACCGGTCAGTAATTTTTCGTGGTATTAATCCAATTTAACTTAGGGTAAATTTGTCACAAATGTGCCAATTTGGGGTTTTTGATAGTCAAAAAATTAGTTTTGGATAAATTTGTCACAAATAAATCATTTTTGAATTTTTTTGGTGGTCAAAAAATTAGTTTGGGTTAAATTTGTCATAGGTATACCAGTTTAGGTTTTTCGTAGCATTAACCCTATTTTTTGTAAAAATAAATAAATTTTTTGTTTATATTTTGATATATTCACTTAGTAGATCATATTTAGTAAATGTTTTTATAGACACTTTGCATTTCGCAATTTAGAGATAACGAGAATAATTAAGTGGTAACATTAGAGACGTTTTATTCAACTACGATTAAATCTGAACAATTTAGTACCAGATTTCAAGATCCATATATCGACCTTTACAAAGAAAATATTTTTTATTCTTTTTTCAAACTTTGGGGTGCGTGTATTTTCGCTTTTCTATGCGTTATGTTCGAAACCTGTCAAAATATTCTTTTAGCGGCATTTAGGATTACGTATAATATTTCATAAGTTTTCGAAATATAAATTATATATAAATTTGATGGAAAATTAAAAAAAAAAAATCGGTTTTGGCCTTTTTTTTTCATAACCCAAGCAAACCCACATTGGCTCCTTCTCGTTATGGTTCTTTAGCGGTGCTTTGTGAAGATTTGTGTTTTTTTTTTCACTACCAATGCTAATTAATGATGAAAAATCACTTCTCAATTTGAGCATCATTAGCATTTCATAAGTAGAGGATAACCTATTTTCCATTTTCAGGAGAAAAACTCGGTAAAATCTCATAATTAATAATAGTAAAAAGTGAACGGTGACATCTACTTGATTGGCGATGCACGATAAAGAAAAATACGCTCAAGCGCACCTGATAAATTCAACTTAAAATATAATCAATCAACTAACTAACTACCAACTTAATCCCAAGCAAGAATGTTTTAGCACGGATTTAGTTGGATAAGCTGCTGCGGGTTTGTCTCTTGTCCACGAGCAAATTATATTTTAATCACTAATCACCACGTGCGTTGCCTCTTCCAAACTGAAACGAGGGGAGGGACAAAAAAGTTGGGAGATCAGTGCATGCTCAATCAAAAGCTAATAAGTACAAACATTAAGAGATTAGATCGAGAACAATGATATGATAATGTCCCAAGTTGTAGAATTCATCCACGAAAAGACAATAATAATTTAGAATTTAAGGAATCAATCTCGTCGATACGGATACGAAGATCATATAATTGAAAAACTAGAAGATTGCAAATAGAAAATGGGCGCGAATTCAAATCAACTATGATATCCCAAGAGATCAACCATCTTGATAGTGTGCTTTCCATTACATCAAAAGGCTCATATGTTATCTCGGAATCGCTCTTTCTTTATTTGGTGCACAGTTCGATTTATTCATGTCCCATTCGTCATTCTAGAAGCCTATCAGGAGCCGATCCTTGTCTAGGCCTTTCAGCCCCGACGACCACTCCCCGCCTCGTTGGACTGGGTCATTACTGGCCCACTTAGCTTCCGCGTACTGGAGAGGATCCCACTCTAGTACCATATCATGACATATCTAGATTAACTCATTCGAGATATTATCTATTTTGGTCCGTCCTATACCAAGCTTCAAGATTTTGTCCTTTGGCGTGTAGTCGGACATTGTCCCATAAATGTCATTCATCCTAGAAGTGTTCTAGCACGAGCACGTTTAACTTTGGAGTTTCAAAGTAAATCTTGTCGTTATTCCCCTAGTTAATTCTAATTTTTACATATATATCTCAAAATCTCTTTCCTCTGTTTAGTGCAAAACTAAGTTCATTTATGTCTCTTTCGCCATCTTAGAAACTTTATAGGAGCCACTCCTTGTCCAGACCTTTCTGGCTCCGACAACCATTCTCCGCCCTCGTTGGAACGGGTCATTACACAAACACATCGAATTCAATATTTTTTTCACTATAATAACATAAACCCGCGTATTATTACGATAAACTTTATCATATAACAGCCCCCAATGTTGCGTCATGTAATGATTAGAAGCATGAGCACAACATGATAGACAAGCATTCCGCAAAAAGCTCTTAGGCGTTCATCTTGCCACTGTTGACTTTTTTGTCAACCTTTTTTTTGGGGATTCTTTAGATATTCACCTAAAAAGGAGGCCTTCAACACAAACACAAAAGTTCATTTCCCTTTGGAATGACCCTCCTTTTCCAAAATGAAAAAATGAATAAAATTTCATTTTTTCTTTGCCCGTATCCTGTGGCCTGTAGCAACTGACAGCAACTACTCAGAAAGTCACAGACCCTATTTCAGATGGTGCACTTACATCAAACACCGCCCCCCCTCTCCCGTCTTGCTGCTACAGAACGGCATCGTCTGGAGACTCTCTCTCTCCCTTTCTCTTTCACTCTTCTCTGTATACGCCTAAACCAGTGAAGTAACAAAGTGAAAAAGCAGCGTGTGTGGTGAAACTAGGAAGAGGGTTGCTTGCTGTTCACCAATGGTGGTGAAAACTCAACAACAAAAGGAAAAAAGAATAGACCCTCCTCCTCCTCTTTTATTTTCTTAGACCACTCCAGTGCTGACTTGACTGCTTTCAGCCTTTGTTGATTCTCTGGTGGTTCTATCATTTGTATGTTGCTTCAAGTTTTGGGAATTCATAGTTGTTGATCTTCCTTCCTAGTCACCTTGAAGATTTTTAAAACCATCTATGTTGGTGGTCTGGGCTTTCTAACTTCTTTAGCGTTCCGGCTAAGTTTTTGTTTCTTCATCTTTTCCATTCTCGTGATCTTACATGTGATTCTGTTTATTTGCTGTTCTGCAGAAAACCATCAAGCAGGAAAAATCTTTGCTTTTGAACGAAGATCTTTCTCTTCTGCTGAAGTTATTGTACATGCTTATATGGCGATCACTCACGATTTGGTCAGTCTCAGCTGAATTATCACCATGCTCGTATGAGTTCATCCTGCTAGAGGAATATTTATCTTGGAAAGTTGCATTAGCAATAAGATCAGAGTGATCTGGTGGGTGAGTCATAAAATTCTTTCCTCGACTCATTTCTGTGTAGATTCATCAGATCCCGGAGGACTCGTACATTTTTCCCTTCTGGCATAAAAAGTTTCTTTACTTATGGCCCTGCTCTCCTCTCTCTGGGATCGATTTTGTCACAAGTAGTAACATAAAACTCAAGGTGTCTCGGAATTGCATTTGATTTTCATTTGGGTTTATGCAGAATCCTTTTGGTGCAGTGTGACTTGAGAGACATGTTGGTAGCCTGAGAAACAATGCCAAACCAGCTATGGTTTGCACTGCCAGTGATCTACAAGAATGGAAGGACTTTCCAAAGGGACTCAAGGTCCTTCTTCTTGACCAAGACTCTGATTCTGCTTCAGAGATAAGATCAAAGCTGGAGTTGATGGACTATATTGGTTAGATTATTCTCTTTCCTTTCTCTTTAGTTACCATAAATGTACAGATTCTGATTCCCGAATCAGAAAAATTTGCACCTTTTCACCCTTTTCACCTTCCCTGCCTCAACTAATCTTTTTAAGACAATACTGAACTGGTCCCAGATTTTCCGTCAAGGCATCTTTATTGGAGCTTCATTGCTTTAGTTAATGTGGAGTTTGGTTCTTGATGCCAAGTGGTCTTGGAATTTAACTTACGCACAACACTTTACAATGATCGTGAATGACGTCATTTGTGGATCACGATTTACCTTTTTGCAAGGCTGAAAATCCAACTTTATAGGGATGCAACAGTCGAAGATCCAAACACATACCCAGTTCCACGTTGCAATTTTTCTTATCCTTATTTGGTGCACTGCAGTTGAGGGAGTTGCCAAAATCCTATTTTAAGCACGTTCCAAATGCTAATTTGATTTTTTTTCATTGTTCTTTAGTCTCCGAACAGCTTGTTTTGTACTATGTAAAAGGTGTTTCCTGTGACTGCATTCACTAAAACTTTCGGGTGATCCTATGGTTTCTTAACTGAGAATTTCCTTGAGTTGTAATATCGCTTATCTCCTCAGTGATGCTACTAAATTCATTCTTTAAAGCGAGGATGTCTTGAAAGCTTTTAGTACCTTCCCTGCGTATTCCAGCCTACTTCCATGTCTTTGATGTTCTTTTAATTCTCCTTTCGTTTTGACAGTTTTTACGTTCTGCAATGAGGACGAGGCTCTATCGGCAGTTGCAAGCAAACCCGATAGCTTCCACATAGCTATGGTAGAGGTATAAGTACCGTCAATTTCTCAGTCTGAGATCTGAAAATTAATGAACACCTTTTGTGAGAGTGGAATTCTGTGACAAAGGATGCTACTTTCTTCAGAATGCATCTTTGTATCACATTGTTGCAACAATGTAATCATTCTAGCTGGATCAAGCTAACCACTCAGTCGATTCGTTTACGACCTACAATGAAGAAAAACTGACTTTGATCTCATATCGTTTAATTCCTTTATTCCTTATCTGATATGCGTTGATGGGTGCAGGTGAATACAAGAAGTAACGGGAGTTTCAAGTTCCTCGAAACCGCTAGAGACTTGCCTACCATCAGTATGTTTGAATTTATGCGCCTGAATTTTCATATTGACAATCATGTATGATCAGCGTGCCAATGATGAACCTTTTTGTGGAGTTTCTTTTGTTGCCCCCTTAATTGACCTTAATTTTAAGTAGATTTAACTTTCAATTTGCTTTTGTGGGCTCCATAGCAAATTCTCATAACAACTCACCTTGTTATCATCATAGAGCTAAAATGCATTGTATTGAAGTATTAGTCCTTGTGCAGTTTCTCACGCAATGAGTGACATCTTCTATTGCAGTGACGTCAAATGATCATTGTCTCAGCACCATGATGAAGTGCATAGCTGTAAGTTTTTTTCTTTTTCACTTGTTTAATACTTGAAATTGATTTCTCTCATAGTATTCACCTACAATTGGATTCTTTATCTTGTAACCTGGGTAATCGTATTTTTACTGCTGCAACAGTCCATTGTTTGCAAGATTTAAATCAGATATTAACAGTCTCTATGATAAATTGGTCAGATGCCCTTGGTACTAATGCATAAAGTTCACATTTATTTCAGCTTGGTGCGGTCGAGTTCCTCCACAAACCGCTCTGTGAGGATAAACTCAGGAATATTTGGCAGCATGTCGCCCACAAGGTTTGACTGTGTTCTTTTCATTCTTCTTTGCCAAGTTTGTTGTTTTTTTGTGCAAGAGCGCGAAGCAAATAATCATTCTGAAGAAATTCGAGCAGGCATTTAATGCAGGGGTCGGAGAGGTCTCGGAGTCTTTGAAACCTGTCAAAGAAACTTTGGTCTCCATGTTGCAGCTTCCAGTGAAAAATGAGGAACAGAACAATGATGAGTCAGCGGAAACGAGAAAAGTGTCTGTTCATGAAACCGATCAAGAGATGTCCGCTGCGAGTGATAAGTATCCAGCGCCATCAACTCCACAGTTGAAGCGAGGCACGCGGCTCCTGGATGATGGGGATTGCCAAGATCAAACGAACTGCACGGTGGAGAAGGAGAGCGGGGAGCAAGATGGAGAGTCAAAATTCGTCGAAACAACTTGCGATGATTCAATGTCTGAGAATCTCCAGGAAGCTAAAGGCCAGAGAGTTAGGGAGGATCTGGTAAAAGAGGAGGACGATTCCACCGACAACTCTAAGTGTGAGAGAATGATATCTCCGCTCCCCGAAAACAAAGATAGGTCTCGCGATTTACATGGTTGCAATGATAATCTAAGCAAAGCATCCAATCTTCGTAATTCTGTCGGAACACGGGGTAACAGGAAGAAGATGAAGGTATGCTTGTGAGGGTTGCTTTCCTTTTAGCTAAAAGGGTTTGATCTGATCCATCTTCAGATAATTGATATGATAAGCTTAAAATTTAACATCATCTTTTCTATGAAAAACATCTATTCCTAGTATGCATGGAAAGAATCTTTGTTTCGTCAACCTCCCCTGCCTTGATGTAGGACCAATAATAGTTGCAAAAGATTTAGTTTGCTTGCTGAGTTGATCCCAAATATGTGCGTCCACTTTGTTTTGTTCATGGAAATTGCAGATAACCAACTGAAATCCATCCCTGTCCATCTTCCCTTGTTTCTGATGTTTCTTTACTCACTTCACTTGCTGATCGGTGAACCCATACATTGGTTTAGCTGTTTCTCCTTGCCATCCTCGTGGTTCCAAAAAAATTAAATTTTCCTGCAGAGCCTCGATAAGTTTTGTAAATACAAGTTTTTTTGTGATTTCCAATGTAGAATTATTAGTGCTATATGAGTGCTAGTTAAACTTTCAGTTGACAATCTGGTAGGAGAGCCTTGTGATTCAGTGACTTAGTTCGTTTGGTCTATTTTGTTTGCCATTTCAGGTCGACTGGACGCCGGATCTGCACAAGAAATTTGTGCAGGTGGTGGAGCAGCTAGGCGTGGACCAAGCCATACCTTCTCGCATACTCGACCTTATGAAAGTCGAAGGCCTAACGAGGCATAATGTGGCGAGTCATCTCCAGGTTAGTGAACTGCTTTTGTCTAAGATTCATGCAATGTTATCGGCAATTCACTGTAGTAGGATCAAAGTGTTACTTATACTCGTGCAAGTTTACACTCTCTTTTTTGTGTCGCGATTGGCCTTAAAGGCCATATGAAAAGTGACGTGAATTCGCATTTTGCAGAAATACCGAATGCATAGGAGACACATCTTGCCCAAGGAAGATGAACAAAGATGGCCGCACTCTCGCGATGGGGTCACCAGGAGTTACTATCCGCATCGACCCATCATGGCCTATCCGCCTCACCACACTGGTCTCCCCCTTCCACCAGGAGCAGCCTATCCTGTGTGGGCGCCGCCCAGCAATCATCCGGCTGGCGTGCAGATGTGGGGGCCACCTGGCTATCCGCCATGGCATGCTCCTGAAAACTGGCATTGGAAGCCTGCCTATCCTGTAGTAAGTAACTACTGTCACTCTTAACAGTGACATACACAAAGGTTTTCAACGAGTGACCGTTTCCATGTATCTGCGGTTTCAGATGCAAGCCGACGTGTGGGGTTGCCCAGTGATGCCGCCTTCTCATCACAGTCCTGGCTTTGCCTTTCCTCAAGTGAGTGTCCTAAACAATCGATAGAAGGTTGTCCTTTGGCCTGGTTATGCTGAATTTGATTCGGTCTTTCGTGGGAAATTGCAGAGTGCACCCGGTTGCCATTGTCCCGACCCATTGGAAAACAGCTTCGCCAGAAGTTCGTTCGATTATCATCCGGTAAACGGGAAATTCTCATCAACATTCTACAATAATTTCATGTGGCAGAATTTAGTCCTAGGCCCCCCAAAAAATGCAGCGGCTAAAATCCCTGATGTTTCACAAGGAGTGACAATACCTAGTCCTAGGATCCTGTGCTTGGTTCTTCGTACTTTTTTTCCTTCAAAAGTCTCGACCCGTCACTTGTCATATAGAAATTATCAGACATCTCAGGACAAAAAGGACAATTGAATTTCCCCTTAGGCGATGCAAATGATTGTGACGTTTTTGTGTTGCAGGACGAGGAAGTTATTGACAACATCGTGAAGGAGGCAATAAGCAAGCCGTGGTTGCCCTTGCCCCTGGGGCTCAAGCCTCCTTCCATGGACTGCATCCTAGCCGAGCTCTCCAGGCAAGGCATCCCCAGCATCCCTGCCCACGCCAACCACCACCCCAGTCCGTGCTGACGCGGCGGGGTGCCGCCCGGCTCCGTCCCCAAGCAAAACTTATCGGTCCCCTGGCCTCCCCAGTCCGGATCCCTAGATCGACGGGCGGGGCGAGGACCGACCCACCCAATCCGACGGTTCGTATTTCCGGTCCACCCAAATTTGGCCGATGTTCAATAACAAGAGGCTCGATCTTATCCAACGGCAGAGAATAAAGGTGGGGCACCAGAAGCTTTAAGGAGGCAGGCGATGTGGGCGGCTGGGAAATCGCCACGTAGGTCGATGCCTCGCCACATTTTGGTGGACTTTCTGGTTGTAATTGTAAAATGACATAAGTCAGTCGCCTAGCAACAAAAGGGGACAGGACTTCATTTGGAGTCACGTTGTTGAGCCTTTGTTAGATTTTGGGTCATGTTGATGTTGCATGTTGGTCCTCTTGAGAATGGGGATGGCCCTGCCTTGTCTGATGTCTAGTCTCAAAATAATGGGTCATCTTTGGCATTTTCTGATGTAGTAATCTGTCTGAATTTTCGAAACTTCGGGGAGGAACATTAGTAAAATCTCGTGAGTGTCTGAGAGAGAGAGGGAGGGGGACATTATGCTAGGGTTGTCACAATAATTTTGAATAGATAGAAGAAGAAAATGTGCAGCTATGAGTTATTTTGATTCGGTGGATGGCGATTAGTGATGCTTTTGGTTCGTAATCGTTTAGCCAGCATGACTATAGTTATCATATTTGACGTGGTGATTCAATCATGGCCGGCCATCCAACATAGTACATCGCCACTTCGGCAACTTTTAGCAAAAATTAATCAGAATATATTAGAATTCCATGCAAAGGTTCGTGACTAACTTGACAATATCGAAAAGTTTTTAGAATTGATCTGACAATTTATTTTAGGATTTCGCTCGCATAATTTACCTCCGATCCCTATATACTGCATAAACAGCGTACCCCGATCAATGATTTGCACGTTGTAAGGTTCAAAATCCAATAATATATATGCTAACAAGTTATTACCATCGTAAGGAATTACAAACCATTTATCCTGTCGCAATTTTACCCTCCAGTTATTTCCGATGAGGTTCTTTTTTGCCCTCCTTTACGGTCTTAAGCATGTGAGCACTTCTTGATCGATTCAATGGAACGAAATAATTAAAAATGTAATGTTTGCTGATTAGTAAAATCACTCGTCCACGTTTGTCCGTGGGACCTTTTTCAATTATTGAGAGCGTGGTCCGCCTTCACCTTGACCGTTAGTTGGTGTCTTGAACGACCGTTACGACGATTCCCGCCTTGACAGCTCCGCTCGTCCAAAAGAGGTGTGGCGCCCACGGCACGTGCGTACGTTCTCCCGCCAAATCCGAGCGCGTGCCGTGCGGCAATTCTTGGGACGCGTTTGTTTTTTTTTTTTCGCGAAAGTGATTTCCGTAAATTAATTTTCCCAAAATTTTTTTTTTGAAAGTGAATAATCGAGGGAGAAATATTTTACGATCGAGGAAGGCAATTGCAGTTTAATTAATTACATTTAAGAACAAAATACGGTCATTCCGGAGAAAATAAATTTCCAACGTAAAATATAGATACGGGAAGATTTTTTTTTTTTTTCGTCTCGCTTTTAAGGACACCTCCGAACTATCGAAAGTTACTTATTTTCCCTAAAAATAATTTTTACGGAAAACATTTTTCACCTCGAATCGGGTCAATCACAACCATCGGTCGAAAATAGACCATGAACCCCCCCCCCCCCCCCCTAGTCCAATGTCCGGTCCTCCAATGCCGAGATAGAACCGTCGTCGAGGGAAAAATTCTTCGATATTTCGAGTAGTCCGTGAACTTGATCTTTCGAGGCGATTTTTTTTTTTTCTAAAACAGCGAGAACCAAAAAAATCCGTTCATGATCAAGTATGATGAATAAAGAGTTGCAACCGGATGGTTTCGGTTAAAATTGGAAATGCAATAATTTTTGGTGTGAAAAAGAAACGTGCATACACGTGCATTGATTGAGCTCATGTTTGTGCTGACCAGCTCATGTCCACATACTATTCTCTTGACTTTGATTGAGCTCCCAATTTCATGAAATTCCCAACCCATTTTGATGATAGTTTTTTTTTTCTTCTTCTTCCTCTTTTCAAATTGGGACCGGGGCTCCGGTTATTTCGCCGGGAATGTACGGTTAGGAAAACGTTTTCCTAAAGATGATCGCCGGTCGATTGAAAAAGTGTTCGTTGACGGCAGCAGTTCCCGTCTCAATATTTTTCGGGAACGATGAAAATCGTTTTCCTTCATTCGTATTTATAAAAGATACAGGCGATCGTCTTTTAAATAGTGCTTTGTACATCGTTCATTTTCCGCAAAAGAAAACTCGGCAAAAACGTATGAATGAAAACCTTCTATCTCTTTGCTGCTTCAATATGGACCTGCAAAGTGGTCCCAAAAACACGAGTAATAAGTGTCTCTATAATGGTTAGGAGTCCTCTCGATCGTACTATTTCGAAAATGCATCCCAGCAGGTCGCTCATCGTTTAGTGTGATGCGTCGCGATTTCGGAAACTTATATCGATATCGATAAGGGATTGACTTAGATAATAAGAGTGTTTGTTCATCTCTTGAGTTCAAAATCTTATTCAAAATGCATCCTGATAGGTCGTTCATCTTTTAATGTGATGCGTCGTGATTTCGAAAACTTATATCGACATCGGGATAAGGGATCGACTTAGACGGCAAGGGAGCTTGTTCGTCTCGCGAGTTCAAACCCTGTCGGGAGCGCTTCGGGACCAAAATCCCGAACACAATCGGTCGATACGGGGGGATTGCAACCTTAGCATCGCCCCATGCGGGTGGGACCGGTCAAAACACGCGAGGCCGGCCCAAACACCACTCGACCCAATATACCAACGACTAACGTTAGAACCGTGCACTGGTCGATTAGGTTTTTCCTATCGAATGGTCACTTTCATCTTTGACAATGTCGAGCCAACCGATGATGTCAATTTTGAAGACTTGTTCATAGCGCGATGCCCCATCCTTAGGTTTTAAAATATTTTCTTTGGATAAGATCGTGGACGCACGTTTGAAATTTGGGAGCTGCTTTAGTTTGAACTTTGAGCTCCAAAGCCCAGACGAAATAACTCGATGCTTTTTAATTAATCAGATTCTCCCGAAAATTAACCTCCACGTAATTATAAATTGTCGCGCAACGATTATATCAAATTTCCTATTCACGTAATTACATGATGAACTTTTATTTTCCGTAAACACACGCTCATATAATTAATACAAATATCATTTTTGATTGATAAATTTCTATACACCTAAATTTTACGACCAAGTTAATATGCATAAAAAGACCCCCAAGAATAAAACTGTGGAAGTCTACGATTCCGTTTGTTTCACGAGAAATGAATAGCTTGAAAAACATTTTTCCTGAAAATGATAGCTCCATATCGCTTGAAATAATCAGCCGATGGAAAATATTTTCATTATCGATAATAATTTGTGTCTAAATAGTTTCGCAAATGATGAAAATAATTTTCATTGATTCGTTTTTGTAAGCGATCATTTTTAGGAATTTTTTTTTTCCAAACTACCAAGGGCACGAACGATAACTATTCTATTCCGGATATAGATTTCTAGCAAGATTTCTATTTCTGTTTCCCGGACGAGTTTTTAATAGCGACACAAATTTTTTTTTTTTCAGAACATAAATTCTCTTGATAACGACACAAAAATTCTACCTCTTACGCTCTTTTCCATTCTTCGACGGGTGGCGGCCGGCGGCGGGAGGCGGCGGTCGATGGGGGGTGACGACGGTTGCCACGAGGCCGCGGGGGAGTGCGGCGAGAGGCGAGGGCAAGCGATGAGAAGAGTTTCTATTTCTCTTTTCGTTCCGGAAACACGAAATTTCTGGACTAAAAAATTTGTTCCAGAAATTAAAAGAAAAATGAAATTGCATTACCAAACGGATTTCTGTTTCAAATCCGTTCTCGAGATCAGAAAAATAGAAAAAGTAAAGAAACAAAATGGTTATCACGTGCGCTCTAATTTTCCAGAAAATAAACGGAGCTTTGCCTGATTATTTTTTGAGAAATGATTGTTTTTCAATATATTAAATTCCGGTAAAAGGGGAATATTCTCACTTTTCTTTTTCTTTTTCTTTTTCTTTTTCCAGGTGGAGGAGGGACCGAAGAGAAATGAAAACTGCTAACCTGGCAAAATCGAAACCAGCAAATTCTGGAAAGAAGGAAGTAAAAAAAAAGAAAAACAAAAACAAAACAAAGGGACCTTCTAACTTTCCTTGCCAACTTCAGGACTTTCTCTCTCCTCTCCCTCTCCTTCTCTCTCTCGCTCTGCGATTTCGGAATCCGAAGAATCAATCCGACTCCAACCTCGTAAGTTCTCGATTCGATCTCGCGTGCTCGCGTAGTTGTCGGAGCTCGATCGGTACTATGATCGTTCGTCGGTTCCATTTCCGGTCGCCGGTGTTTGTTCGCGCCGCTTGTTTTCAGCCGGAGATGCGATCGGCCTCTTTTTTTCTTTTCTTTTTTTTTTTCGGTTTTGATTGGCGTGGGATTTCGTGTCCTTCGTTCGATTTTGCTGGGAGGTTTGGCATGCGTTCGAGTTTGGATTTGATGATGTGGGTACGGCTTCAGAAATGCTGGGGAATATGGGGTTCGAGCTCTGTCGTTGCTGAGGCAGTTAGTTTGTTGATGGCTGGGGGGGGTTGCTTTTTAGGTTTGATGTCTCGTGCATTTGCGGATTGAGTTTGTCCGGGACGGAAGTCGAGCTGATCTGTTGTAATGTGTTTGGACAGGCATGTGGGTATTCACCCATTTTCTTTGTAATGGAACGATGCTGACTATCGGCCCGCGTAGCTGGTTTTGAGTTCCGACGGAGCTGTCTTATGTTTGATCTGTTGTTGTTTCGTGCTTGCGATTAGGTAGCGGGTCGGTTGATGATTTGGACGAAACCGACTTGATATCTACGAAAAGGAAGGAGAGGGTGATATAGAGGATGGCGTGCAGAGGGTGCTTGGAGTGCATTTTGAAGCTCCTGAACTTCTTGCTAACGCTTGCGGGTTTGGCAATGGTGGGATATGGGATCTACTTGTTCGTCGAGTACGAAAATTCATCCAGCAGCACTGTCTCAGTTTTGCCCGTGGGCACTGGTGGGAATTTGGTAGAGCTCGGCAGGCCGATGCTCACAGCAGTCTCTCTGTCAAGCAGCATTTTTGATGATTTGCCCAAAGCTTGGTATGCTCTTTTTTTGGTTTTTTTCCTGACCTAAATTTGCATTATGCTCTTGAGTTTGTCAATCGTTGCTCATTGTGGCCGTGCTGAAGCTGGATATTGTAGGTTTATGTAAGGGCTAGACTGATCAGTTTGCTGGACCTCAAAATATAAGGATATTTCGGCAAGTGTTGATTAGTTACATAGGCATGAAAAAAATAAAAATTTATGAAGAGCC